CATGCGAAATCCGCATATATTTCAATTCAAATTTACTAGTTATGCATATAATTCGAATTGTGTAACAAATGAGATTTTGATATTGTAATTATTCTAATTTAATCTAAGAAATATGCACAACTAGTATTCTTATCATTTTATGAATGATTGTATTGGATTTAGAATCCGCTTATTGTTATCTATTTCAATTCCTAATTATGTAATCTAGTTATATTCATGTGTTCTTGACAATCTATATAGCTAATGTATGTAATTTTTTAAAGACAAATTAATTCTATTTTATTCACGACCTGAATCTATTCCTAACCCTAATTTAAATTATTAGAATGTTTTAAATTTTAGATTATCTATAGGGGATTGTATATGTGATAAATGATATTCCTAACATTTATTGTACATGTGTTAATTTTGTTGCGTTCTAAACTTATTGTGAGTCTCTCAACACTACAATAAGTAACTAGTTATTTAATTGGTGATCAAACAATTAAATAATGTAATGAAAATGCAAAATTAATCAAGAAACACAAGAAATAAACTAACTTATCAGTTTTGAATTAAAATAAATAAACAATATGGTTCATCTTCTTCTAATACCAAAAAAAAGATCTAACCTAACATGTTTTTGAATAAATTACAAGTAAAATAATAAAAAAATATAACTCGGATCATGATAGAATGAAAAATATGTTGATCTTCAATTTCAATGTTGAATTTTTCAAAATCTTGATATAATTGAGTTCAATTCCTTGCTATTGTTTGATCTTTTCTATCAAAATATAGAAATAACCTTTTGTTTTTGATGAATTTAATGATATTATTGTATATGAAGAGGCAAAAGAGGGCTCCCCAATATTTTGGCCAAATTTTGTATTTGTAGGATACCAAAAATCGAGTCAAGCGTGTAAAGAATTTAAATCCAATTAAAAATTCTGGTGAAAAAGGGCGTTTGCACGTCGAGTCCCTGATCTTGCACCACGCTGGCGCGCTGGCATTTGGCTGGAACGCGCGCCACACAGCTTAGTTATTTCCTGTAATTAAAAGTCCAAGCCGGTGCACCCGCGCCGGCCATTTTCACTAAATTATTTGCGCTCGCGGTATTGTAACTATCAGAAGTTCTGTGTTTTAGTCCCCATATTTGTTTAAGATGCTTCTTGAGTCCATTCTTTGATACAATTTCAGCCCTTTATCTTCAAATTAATTCCAACAAATCCAAGAATTTCACAATCATCGATATTAAGTCCAAATCAACTATTGAAAATGTGTACTTTAATCCTCAAAGTTTGGATTTCTTCATTTTTTTGTCAATTTTTCATTTCTTTTGTGCAATTCTACCAATTTACCTCGAGTTTAACCTAACAAAAAAAAAAAAAAAATTTAATATCTAATTAAGTCACAAGTCATTAAAATTAATAATAATTGATCACATTTAATGGGCCAAATAAATGTATAAAATATACTTATCAAAAGCCATCGGAGAAGAGGATTTTTGCGGAGAGGATGATAGGAGCTTGACATCGGCGGAAGAACATGTTGTATTCCTTTACCAGCTGCAGACGTGCACGGATATATTTTCCTCGTCGGAGATTTTGGTCCCTCGGTCTCCAAATTTCGATGTGAGATGGATTTCGCAATAATTAATTAATTTCTCGTGTCAGATTGGTTCCTATTGACTATTCATATTTAAATATTATTATGTCATATTTCAATTATTTGCTTCGTCTAATAATTTATTGAAATCAAAATTTTGAATCTTGTTTAATTAGATTAAAAATAATAAAATATACCTATTTTTTAGATTAAAACCATGTGAAATTAATAGCCTTGTCGTGATATTATATTTATTAATGGATGGCGTGGTATTAGATTTATTAAAGGCATGTCTGTTTGAATTGCATGTTTATCTCAATAGGCTATAAATATTGTTACTAAAGAGACATTATAAAGTTTTTTGATTGTAAAATTTAGTTCTATCAGGCCAAGCATGCAAAAACAGGCGATCATGATAGACAAGTTATTCATTCATCATTCATTATCGTTTAAATTCATGTAAGATAAAGTAGCAGTATACAACTTTTTTGGGAGTAATAGGGCCCGTTGGCAGGGATTTTGAAAAACCAAAAGTTGTTTCTAAATATGTTCGAATAGTTTTTGAAAGTGCTTTGTTCGATTAGAAGAGCATTTAAAAGAAGTTTACCTCTCTTCTACAAGAAAGCAAAAGTAAAAAAAAGCTATGCCAAATGGGTCCTTAGTGAACTCGCTACTAAAACTTATGAATTGTTGTTTCATGATTGGTATGGAGGAGTAGACATAATAAAAATGAAAAAGAAGTTAAAAATTAATGTATTCCGTTAAGTGTCATCTAATGTTGGATTTGTGTCCAAAACATAACCTTATAGTTTTGCCACAAAATGTTTTGAGATACTTTTATTTATTTATTAACTCTTCGTTATCTATTAGTTACGTACTAAATTAGACGATGAACACAAATTTATTCAAATTTGCCGAAGCTAAAGTAATTGACAGTTAATCATATTGGACTTTACCGTACTGAACATGATTAAGGATGAACAAAGTTGAAATTTTATTTATGATACTGTGTCTAATTCTGTAACAAATTTGATGTGCAGAGGTACAACAAAGACTCCAAGGTTGTGGTTAATGTAACAGTTGAGGGAAGTCCTGGACCAATCCGAACAATGGTTAAATCAGGATCCAATGCGGAGAATATGATAAAGCTTGTGATTAGAAAGTACAACTCGGAAGGCCGCACTCCTCGTCTGGATAAAGATTTTGCTTCAAAATGTGAATTACACCTCTCGTAGAATAAAATAAATACTTGTAGGTTTGAAAAAGTCAGATTTAATTGGGGATGTCGACAACAGAAATTTTTACCTACGAAAGTTTAGCAGTAATAAAGGTGAAAGTTCTCTAAATTCAGACATCTTTCCTATGAATGCGAACGATGATCTTCTCTCCGCTCCAAGTTTCATTGGCTGCAAGATGAACAAAATTGTACGAAGAACACAGACTTCAGAAAATTTTAGGATGTATCTAACATTGTCTTTACTAGAGTAACGTACTATTATTTTGTTGCTACGTCATTTTTATGGTTCATTTAATGTCCATACTGTTGAGAAAATATTTTAGGGAGGCCGGAGAGAAATGGGTTGTCAAATGTAAGTCGCCTTTTTTTGACTGACGTTTGACTGTACAATACAGTTATTCTACTAATTAAAGAGAGTTTGGCTTAGATTAAATGTTGCTAATTTCGGTAAGAAGGGTTGATAAAAGTATTAGCCAATTTTGGATAGAAAATTTGCTTCTTACTTTTATCCAATTTTGGATAGAAAATTTGCTTCTTTCTACAAAGAAGCAAGGCCTAATGTGCTCTTTCAAATGTTGGGATCCAAAGAAATCTAATTAGTTATTTGATAAATTGATGTTTATTAATTTTGAAGCTATTGAATGCTTAGAATGGATTGCTCATTTAATTAAAGGTGAATTGCAGTCACGATCCTATCCAAACCTTTTGTTTGTACCACCCACAATTTCTAACCTTTAAAAGAATTACAGTAGAAGGACATATGGATGGATTCCATCTATTTGACCTTCAGTTGACCAAAAAAATTGAATTTGACCAAATATAAAAAGGCAAAATAGTAGCTTTACAATTTCAATATAAAATAATTTTAAAAAATTAAATAAAAGAGAATAGAAATAAAAAGATTAACTGTTCACCCCAACCCCAAACCAAATGAATCCACCATTGTCGCTGCCACAACCACAACCATTCATCGTCGTCAGCCACCGCCACCCGTCGTCGCCTCTCTGATTACCAAATACCAAAACAGGTCCAAAATTACCCCAGACAACTCAATTATCAACTTATACGCGCGATTACAACACATAAGCAACAATTTTTCAGTAGAACTTTGTGGCATCTTCATTACAATAACAGCACAAACAAATTCAAACATCCAAGTTTTGTATTTAGATCCCATCTGATTTTGTACCCGCACTTTGTCTTGCTATTTCCTCTTTGACATAAACAAGCCTCATATTATTTCTTTAGACCTTTTGGAACCTACAATTTCATATAGAAGCCTTGGAATTGGAGGCTCAAGAAGTAAAGGAAAGAAAACTCATTCTGAATTTTGTTGCTACTGCAATCTGTTGACATTTATGTTAGTTGGAGAGTTGGTAGTCAATTTAGGCACTTGGCAAGTGATTGTATAGTTATGGTTGTTAGTTTAGTTAATTCAGAAGTGATCTATTACCCATGGCGGGGTATGAGTTATTTTGCCCATCGTTGATGTAGACCTACAATTTTTAACAATTCAACATCGAGTTATCAAAAAATGTAGGCTTGATCGCTGACTTGACGTGGACATATTTTATCATACCGACTATGGATAGGAAATCATTTCTATTAGTTGGTTAGCAGCCATTACATGTCTATAAATACTGAAGTTGGTTAGCAGACAACTTTTTCGTCCAATGATCTGCTGCCATCATTGTATCTATCAAGTAGGTGGACAAAAACATTAGGCAAGGTAGCTTGTTCCATTCTCTTGACCCTCCAATTTACCTTCATTCACCAACTTCAATAAAGGGCCCACCCCGCTTTCCTCAATAATCAACTTCCCATACCGGTCGTTGTCATGAGCTGAGGTCGACACATCTATCTTCCAACAACCCAGTATAACAGGGATGGGGATCAGATGGGGAAGAAGATGGATTTTATTTTAGGAAGAAATAGATATTAATAAAATATTATAAAAATCAAATTAATCTATCAACCATGCACCTACCCACCTCGTCCAAACAGATTTCATTATCTATCTCTCTTCACAAAAGTCTTTCTCTACAATCACATACCCTAATTATTTTCCCTTTCCATTCTTTTTCTATATTTCTCCATATATTGTCTTTTTCTTTACCACCACCGAATAAACCACCAGCGCGACGTTCAGCTGTTCACGACGTTGTTGGCGCTGCACTCATACAGCGTCGCATGATGCTACTACACTGTAACGACCACTTACAACGTCTAGCCACGGTGGCACTCTGAGATCGGCGTCGCTCAAATTCGCTATAGCCGGTGGTGAACTACTTCCACTCCCAATAGCGGTTTCTCCGATGCCTCCACTCCCAACAGCCACTTTTTGATGCCTAAGCTCTGATGTAGTGGAATTCACTACAAAGACCTCCGATGCTAGTAATCCAAAAGGACTGGGATGCGGTGGCGATCATCATCAATAGCAGTTTCTCTGACTCCTCCACTCCCAAGAGCTCGGTACAATGCCACCACATGATAGAGAAGCTCTGCCACTACTATCATGCTGAGAAGTAGCACCCTTTCCTATCCATACTCAGTCGATCATTTTATCTTCTCATGTTATAAGCATCTGTAGGAAATAAAACCAACCATTAGCTATTGAATGCTTAGAATGGATTTTGCTCATTTAATTAAAGGTAAATTGCAGTCACGATCCTATTCAAACATTTTGTTTGTGCCACCTACAGTCCCTAACCTTTAAAAGAATTACAGTAGAAGGATAGATGGATGAATTCCATCTATTTGACCTTCAGTTGACCAGAAAAATTGAATTTGACCAAATATAAAAAAGGAAAAATAGTACCTTTACAATTTCAATATAAAATAATTTAAAAAATTAAATAAAAGAGTAAAGAAATAAAAGGATTAACTGTTCACCCCCAACCCCTAACCAAATGAATCCACCATTGTCCCTGCCACAACCACAACCATTCGTCCTCGTCAGCCACCGCCACCCGTTGTCGCCTCTCTGATCACTAAATACCAAAACAGGTCCAAAATTACCCAAGACAACTCAATTATCAACTTATACATGCGATTACAACACATAAGCAACAATTTTTCAGTAGAACTTTGTGGCATCTTCATCACAATAACAGCACAAACAAATTCAAACATCCAAGTTTTGTATTTAGATCCCATCTGATTTTGTACCCGCACTTTGTCTTGCTATTTCCTCTTTGACATAAACAAGCCTCATATTATTTCTTTAGACCTGTTGGAACCTACAATTTCATATAGAAGCCTTGGAATTGAAGGCTCAAGAAGCAAAAGAAAGAAAACTCATTCTGAATTTTGTTGCTACTGCAATCTGTTGACATTTATGTTAGTTGGAGAGTTGGTAGTCAATTTAGGCAATTAGCAAGTGATTGTATAGTTATGGTTGTTAGTTTAGTTAGTTCAGAAATGATCTATTACCCATGGTGGGTATGAGTTATTTTGCCCATCGTTGATGTAGACCTACAATTTTTGACAATTCAACGTCGAGTTATCAAAAAATGTAGGCTCGATCGCTGACGTGACGTGGACATGTTTTATCATACCGACTATGGATAGGAAATCATTTCTATTAGTTGGTTAACAGCCATTACGTGTTTATAAATACTGAACTTGGTTAGCAGACAACTTTTTCGTCCAATGATCTGCTGCCATCATTGTATCTATCAAATAGGTGGACAAAAACATTAGGCAAGGTAGCTTGTTCCATTCTCTTGACCCTCCAATTTACCTTCATTCACCAACTTCAATAGAGGGCCCACCCCGCTTTCCTCAATAATCAACTTCCCATACCGATCGTTGTCATGAGCTGAGGTTAACACATCTATCTTCCAACGACCCAGTATAACAGGGATGGGGATCAGATGGGGAAGAAGATGGATTTTATTTTAGGAAGAAATAGATATTAATAAAATATTATAAAAATTAAATTTGATAAAATCAAGGGAGGAAGCTGAAATTATTAAACTGAAATAAACAGACAGAAATAAGCAGAGGAAGCTGTAGAAATCAGACTGAAAATAAAGGACATGAAAACCGGATAGAGCCTGCTGAATTACAACAGGGAAGAAGATGAATATTGATTCAACTTGTTTAAGGAAAATACAATGCAATCTATTCTATTTATAAAAGAAATACTAACCAACTATCTAACAAACTAACAAGATAACAAATTAAGAAAGTATCTAGAATGAGCTAGAATCTCTAAGAAAAAACTGGAGCTGCTGGGGTGCTGGAGAACGTGTGATGAAGAACAGAAGAAGAATCTGGAAGATGATGTTGTTGAACTGGAGAGAAGCTTTAACTGGAGAGGCTGGGAACGTCTGGTGAACTGGAGCTTTGTTAACTGAAGAACAAGCTGTTGAACTGAGTTGCTGGTTTGCTGGTGAAGGCTGGTTAATATTCCAACACTCTAATAAGCTCTCTATTCTAACTCTTTATTTTATTTTTCATTGAATATTTATTGATTTTTCATAATAATTT